CCCCCCTCTTTCCTTACACCTTCCTCTTCAATTTTCCAGTTTCCTTCTCTGTCTATATAAACTCATTTCCATAATCTACTTAACCACATTTGATATACACAAATTATTAAAAATGCGAATGGCCTCTCTAGTATCCTTAAGTGTTGTTTTGCACCTAGTCCTCAGTTTTTGTGCGCGCCATTTGGGAGCAGCAGCAAGAAGTGTGAGTGAAAAGAATCTGAGCGGCAAAATCTCCGAGGGAATCTCATATGGTAATTCCCAATGAGCCATCATCTCCGATTTCATCACCTCCCTTTCTTCCCCTAAACCCACAGCCCAACCATCTGTTGCCATGTGGTTGAAAGCCACAAACAAATACTACCAAAACTCTTCCTCACCATGGGTGCCCAAATCACTCACCAAGTACCACATCCTTAAGTCAGCCTTCAAGGTTTACAACTTTTATAACAAAAATAAATTTGGTTATATACTTGAGTGAGTCAATCATTTGCTTAAACGAGATTAACTCACTCTGAGCGATCAACAACTACCTTTGATGAGCGATTGGAATTCGCTCGGAATGCCTAACACATTCACTTTGAGAGATCAAAGCTTGTTTTGAGTGTCTGAAATTTGTTTTGGAGCATCTTTGAATAACCATCCAAGCTCGCTTGGAGTGAGCCAGCCCCATGAGCGCTTTAAGTGACCAAACCTAGAAAACATGTATGATTTCGAGAAAACACAACAACTCAAGAAAACCTCAAATCTTTTCAACTCGTACAATAATACATGCATACAAACTTTGAATCTTCCAATTATAATAACATACAACACATAAATTGAAGAAAATAAGACATGCAACAACAACACACCAATCTGCCATCACCAAATCTCTCCTTCTTCACCAAGAACACCAAGATCCACAAAATAGATAACTCATCCTAAGAATTAATCAAGCATACTAGCAAACTTTCATCAAGAAATTCAAGCACAGAACTTCCCTTACCTCTTGAAGAATCCAAATCAAAAGAGGAAAATGGAAAGTATGATGGTTTCGCATGACTTGAGAGCTTCGGCCTACGAGTTCCCTCCTTTAGTACTACAGGTCAGTTGCAAGTAACATTCAACAACGAAGAGAAGAAAATTTTTGGTTTTTCTTAGAGAGTCTCTCCTTGGACTCTCTCTTCATCCTTAAGAGGTTATGGTTAAGTGACCCCTCACTTCTAACCCCTCATCCTTAAGGACCTTATTGGGCTCACCTAGGTCTCTAGCCCAACTGGCTTAGAGACCCACTAAACACCTAGTGTCCATCTGACCCAAGGGTTCTAGAATATTTTTAACATAATTCACCCATCATTTTATTATTAAAGCCTATAATTAAATTAGTAAAACTTTAAAAAAAATGACAGTGTTACACAATGTTGGTTGTGATGGATTTCAGCCAAAAGAAAAGAGTTGATTTTGAAGAAATATTTTCATTCGTGGTCAAGATGTCTTCAATCAGAGTTGTGTTTGGCCTAGTAACTAATTGAACTTGGAGGTTCAACAATTTGATATGAAGACTTCTTTCCTCCATGGTGACTTGGAGGGAGAAATTTATGTAGAGGAATATGAAGGTTTTGTAGTCATGGGAAAAAAGAATTATGTCTGCAAATTGAAAAAGAGCTTGTATGGGCTCAAACAAGCTCTAAGGCAATGGTATAAGAAATCTGATTCCTTCATGATAAATCATGGATATGACATAACCTTTTTTGATTATTGTGTGTTTGTGAAGAAAATTTTGGACGAAAAATTTATTATTCTCTTGCTTTATGTGGATGACATGTTGATTGGTTGTCATGACATGAGAAATATTCAAAATTTCAAAAAAGAGCTAAACAAGTCCTTTTGTAATGAAGGATTTGGGACTTGCAAGCCAAATTCTTAGCATGAAGATTATTCGTGGCAAGAATAATGATAAATTGTGGTTATCACAATAAAAGTACATTAAGAAGGTATTGGAGAGATTTAGTATGGGCAACTCCAAGTTTGTTAGAACTTCACGTTAAGCTTTAAACAATGTCCTACAAGTGAGAAAGATAAAGAAGAAATGCAAAAGATGTTGTATGCATTTGCAATTGGTAGCTTGATGTATGTGATGGTGTGTACAAGACCAAATATTACTCACATTGGTGTAGTTATTTGTTTTCTCTCTAAATCGGGCAAAGAATATTGACAAGTTGTGAAATGGATACTTAGGTATCTTAAAGGTACTTCTAGAGTCTATTTGTATTTTGGAAGTGGTGAGCCTGTGTTGAATGGTTACAGATGCTGACATGGTTGGTGATGTGGATTCCAAGAAGTCCACTTCTGGTTATATGTTGACTTTTGCAGGGAAGTAGTGTCATGACAGTCCATATTGCATAAATGTGTTGGTTTATCTTCTATAGAGGCAAAATATATTATTATAATAGAATTTGTCAAGGAGCTCTTGTGGATGCAGAAATTCCTATAAGAGTTTTGACTTTCACAATAAAAACATGTTTTGTACCATGATAGTTATTCAAAGTGTAATCCATCTCAACAAGACCTCGACTTTTTATACAAGATCGAAGCATATTGAGGTTTGATATCATTGGCTACGTGATGCGTTAGAGATGAAACAATTATCATCATAGAAAATCCATACTCAAGAGAATAGCTCAAATTAATATGATGACAAAGACCTTATCTATAGGAAAGTTTCTTATTTGCAAAAAGAATGTGAGTTTGGTTGACTATGGCTCCAATTAATTGGTGAGGGGAGCATTTATCAGGTGGGTCATCAATTTATTTTGGCTCACACTGAATTTTTTTTTTTAAAAAAAAAAGACTACATTTGAGCCCAATATGCTAATTATATATTGGTATCAAGTGTAGTGATTCTTGATACGTGAGATCAATCTTTCAAAAGGTGGAGAAATTATAGAGTACTATGTGCATGCGTATGTTGTGCCTCTTTGAGAAATATAGAGAAGAAGAATTTCTTGAGAAAGTGTAGCAACCAACGAAGAGAATAAGTGTTTGGTACTAATTTCAGTGTATTTTGGTTTTCTCACTTGCTTGATTAGATATCCATTTAGAAATTTTCTTGTATTATTATCTATCATATAAATAAGCAGTTATTTCTAGTAATCTTTGGTGATTTCAAGAGGTAATGTACCCATTAATTATTATTAATGAAGTTTTTACTAAACTAGGTCTGATAGAATTTTATCCCGCATTGAAGGTTTTTTATTCATATTAAAACTTGTTATCTATTCATATTAATGAGTTGTTATTTCTTGTGATCTTTAGTAATTTTTGGATATGATATATCCATTAATTATTATTAATGAAATTTTTTCTAAATTACGTTTGACAGACTTTTATCCGGCATTAAAGATTTTTCTTTTTCATATTAAAATTTGGTATCTATTGATTTCTATTTTTTTTTTTTTTGTGTGCATTCTATTATACTTATGAAATTATCTTGTTACTTTCTAAAACTATTATTATTTATACAAAGAAATTTAATTTTACTTCCACTTATTTGTTATTTATTATATTTCCCAATAATCTCAATCAAATCAACGCAACCAACACAGTAATATACATGGCAGAGTCATGGATCTCCACCTCCGGTACCCACCTATAATGCAGTGATTATCGATCCATGAATTTGAGCGATATATAGTATTCGCCATTGCATGCATGAATTAGTACCTGACATATATGTTTGGTTCATATCGTATATGGTTACATTCACAGGAATCACAGCTTTATGTCTATCGCATGCAAGAATTTACTTTTGTACCACCTTTATTAACATAACACTACCAAGTAACAACCACCACGTTGTGCTGGTCATACTGCATTAACTACCATTTTCCACTTCCGCCCTAATATTCTATCTACTGTGTTATTAAACCATTAGCTTGTTCTCATCCCTTACAAACAGTGGTCACGTTTCGAATATGTATTTTAAGTTGGATTTGCAAGGTAAAAACACGAGTCATCAATCTTCATTTTTTATTATTATTAATATTATTAACAAAGAGAACATATATTCAAAAAGAGTACATGGTATTCAAACCCATTCCATATGCATAAAACAAAGTTTATAGTTACTGTAAAGCTTTCAAGCAATACGTCTGATTCATAGATCATACAAACAAACAAAAAACTTTTTTCCCTGGTAATCAACCTCAGCCAAAGATCTAAATTTTATATGGTCCACCACTTCTCCGGTATTTGCAAACTCACCTATAAAGATAATGTTATTGCTATGAAACATAATAGATCATAGCGAAGTAAACCACACAACCCACTATGTTTTTGTACATTTTTTCTGTGATAGCATAACAATGTAGAATAAAATGATTCCTACAGCATTGAATATTATTGTTAGTGTTATGTAATTATATGTAATTTTTATGTAATATATTCCAAACTCAAGTTAATTTATATTGTTAGGCTTACCTCATTTGAGATATATATTGTCTATAATATTGTTAAGATTATTCTATCTAGTATTCACCTCTCACTATTATAGTTTTGTTATAAAAAAAGTGTTTTCATGGATTAAGAAAAATATTTATAAACTAACTTGGACCATGATAATTTTATCCTAAATAAACACCTCAATAGATTAAAAAAAAAGGAAATTTAGAAACTATCCTAAATAAGTTTATGTGAAATATTTTTTATGCATTTGAATATGGGAGTTGCTATTATAGCGACGAATATAGAAAATTTGTTAATTGAGGCAATAAAATATTTTATAATATTTTTTTTATTAAAAAATATAATAACATTTTAGAAAAAGTATATTTTTGTGATAAAAAAATTTTATATACCTATTTTTTATAAATTAAAAGTTTTTCATAAATAGAATAACAATCTCTCCTCTTTTTTTTTTTATATTTATGATATTACATTTAAGTGTGACTTTATAATTTTTAGTAACTTATTTAATATTAGAGGAATGAAATGATATAAATTATTAAGATAAAGATAATATAATTATTATTTATTTTTTTTATATCTCTTCTAAATTTTTATGTTCATTTAAAATAAAAATATTTTATGAGAACAATACCTATCTTTTTTATAAGAGTAAATTTATTTTTTATAAAATATGTTTAAATAAAAAAATAAAAAAATGTGACAATTACTTTTATTCCTCTTAATTTGGATTCACTCCTACCAATATACAATATACATATACTATATCAAAAGGGTTAAAAGCTAAAGTAACAATTAAAAAAAAAACTTATATTTGTAAACTAAATTGTGACATCTTTAATGAATAAAGAAATAATAAAATTTTCAGTTTAAAAATAAAGTATATTATAATAATAAAAAAATTAAGACAATTTTGTTATAAAGTGAAAGAAATTACACAATAGAATAAAATATAAATATATGTTAACATATTAGATATAAAAAATAATCATTACAAGAGACATTGGTAGTCACGTAAAAAAAGTGTTGTTGTAGTTTATATTTACATTTTTTAACAATATATCAATATATATTATATTTATAATATCTATAAAAATAATTTTTAATAACAAATATCATGTCGGTATAAAATGTGTTATTACTTAACAAATACATTAAAATATAATTAATATACATAATCATATATATATATATATTATGAAAAGAAAATAATAATATACATAATAATCAAAAAGAGTAAAATTTTAGTGGAGCAATTGTCCCCACTCTCATATACATGGATCCATCCCTGCTATTATATCTTTAAAAATTGAATCGTTTTGATAACTTCTCAAATGTGTACTAATAAAATAAATACATGTGATATCATATCAATTTTCTAAATATATTTTTTCATTTTATTTCATTTTTTTAATAAATATATAAAAGATTACATAGATAATTGAATCTAGATTTACATACTTCTAACTATCACAATTCCTCTCCACTCAACCACTAAGCTAACTCTAGTGATTATTTTATTTCATTTAACTTTTTATATTATTTATCTTTAATTCCTTATCAATTATTCTTTTTAAACAAAACATAATTACAGTTACTACGATTTTAAATCGGAGGGTGAGATATTTTAAAGCCCTAGATTTACTCTAGGTGGAAGGAGACTGGAGATTACGTCTTGTGCAATTTTTTCAAAGAAGGTAAAAGATGTGCGGAAGTAGAATTCATCACATCATCAAAATCTCAAAGCATGCAATGGATGAGCAACAAAATCTAATTAAATCACGCAATACATG